CTAAACCCTAAACCCCTATACCCCAATACCCCAAGCCCTTAACTCTAAGCCAGAAGTACGAGCATTACTAGCAGGAACCAAGGCTCCTTGAAGAACCGGTAGGGAGTTGGCGTATGTTGCAAAGGAGTCACGCCGCTGATGCACTTGTCCACGTCCGGTGGGACATTTTGGGTTCTTTCTTGCCTGACATAGTGGTCTGAATAACCAGCAAGAATATATCCCCTAATGCTCCCGGTAGCTGCAATAGGATCTATCTCAGTCCAACTCTCAAGGCCCCCACATTATCATTTGTACATGCAGAAGCTTCCGCAGGCAGGTCATCATGAAGCCACAAAGCTCCGAGCGTCGAGGGCTTCATGGGGCCTGCTGGGGTTGTGGAGCTAACCCTAAACCCTAAACCCCTTAACCCTAAACCCTAAGAGAATCCGGTGAATGCCACTTGAACGGGCTCGTAACTATGCAGGTGGCGCGCAGCAGTTCATAGACGAAGCAGAACGGTCTTTGAACGACTCCTTGATGACGCCTTCCCTGATTGGTGGGCTTGGAGAGCTTGGGATGTCCTTCCATCAGTCTCGAGATTCTACAAACGCAGCTTATATGGTTAGTAAAGTCTAACTGCCATGACTGTTTTGTAGAACAAGTCGGACTTTCAGTTCATTGTTCTGAACCATCACTGGATGCTATTGGGGGATGTGCCTGTTTCTGCTGTATCCTGGGTTAGGGAAGCTATGTTTTTTCTGGTTTGGTTCCGTGGAGGTATGTAGGGCCCTGTCCTTTCTGATGGGCTCAGGGTTGCTGCTAGCTGCTGAAGGCTGTTGGCTCAGTGTTTGTATCGGGCTCGTATCAGATCGTAATGTACTATGTCATATTATTTTGTATGATATCATTCTATATGTTATTTTAAGAACGTTTCATATTATGTCGTTTATGTCATATTGCGCCTCCAAGCTCTATGTCCTCAAACCCTCAAAGTTCGGAGCCCCAAGGCGTAGTTGTGTTTTCTGTTGCAACAGATGGTGAGAGACCAGGATCGTCAGAAGAGCCATGAAGAACACAAAGGTCGTGGGAGGTGGTGGAGCCGCGTCTTGGAAGAAGCTTTGAAGAGTCTGAAAACCCAATATAGGGGCCTAAATAATTACCTATACTTTTTTTGGGGGTTCCTTATTATAAGTATAGTATAATGTGCCTCAAAACCCTGGTCTAATTATTCAGGCCCTTTTTTAGCAAAAGCCAAGGCCAGGGGGGCCGGTTTGGCTTGGGGTTAAAGGGAGCTGATGATCTACACATAGCCGGACGCCTGATTGTACTCTAATTCCTCACGCAAGGTCGAGATGGAGCTCAGCAGATACCTCCGCGAGTATGCGCGGACGATTTCAGGCACCTTTGTTCCCTTGCTGGCTTCAAACATGCCCTAATTATAATTGGCCGCATTACACCTTGACCTCAGCAGAGCTTGATTTCCATCACGTCTCCATCATGGCCTCGGTTGAGATCGTTCGATTTAAGGATGGCCGGGAAGCGCACTATGTGGCAGAGCCTGTTTGGTTCATTTATTTTGGGGTTTAGGGCCGTTTGGGGTTGAGAGTAGGGTTATTCCAAAGCCCAACACCTGACACCCAAAGACTTGAGGCTGTGGGGTTTAGTTCCGTTATAAGCAAGCTCCAGACCCGTGTGCAACCAAAAAACAGAACACCTAAGAAACCCTGGGAGCCTGCGCCCTGATTCCCAAGCCCTACACTTTGTGCAGACGCAAAAGAGAATTCAAAAAAAAACTACACTTTGAAGGCAAACAGCAGCTGGTCATCAACTACTTCGCCCGAGCACTCGAGGCACAGTTGCCTTGGATTTCAATTATGAGGTTTAGGGTTTTGGGTTTGGGGTTTCTCTAACGACTTGAGGTTTCAGCTGTTGAGGTAGGTTTTAGAATTTTAGGGGTTCTGGTTGTGCGAGTTAGGATATAAGGATATATATAGTTTGGGTTTCAGTTTTTTCAGGTTTGTAGGATTTTCACTTCAGGTTTGGGCTATGTGTTTCAGATTCAGAATTCTTGGTTGCTAGAGGGGGGGTTTAGGTTTGAGAGTTTAGCGGTGTACAGTGGGGTTGAGGCTTTAGGTTGCAGAGTGTGAAGTGCGGGCAGGTGATCCCAATGACTCTTGCGCAGAACAGCGGTGCAGATGGCACCAAGATGCTGAAGCTGGGCTTCTGAAGAGGGTCGAGTCTAGAGGTGCATTTTGTTTTGGGCTCCTCGGTGTGGTCATACTGATTACGGATAACATCAGCCTTCCTGTAAACGGCAAGATGGTCGACTGGAGGGATTTAGGATGTGTTGATGCTTCGGCCCGAAACCCTATAGTTGCTAAGTATACGTATTCAGGCCCCGCTACATCCCACACGCAGCTCGCTCGTGTGTCAGGCTTCTTTCCTGAGCGCTGTTGTCGCACCTCCCTCCCCAAATGTCCAGCCTCTCTGTGAAGTCAGTTGGCTGGGTGCCCCCTAAACTCTAGACCCCGGGTTGAGCGTTTGAGGGTGACGTGCGTTCTGAATCAGAGTCCTTTCAGGGCTTCACAGTTCATTAGACACAGTGCAATTACGGCTGCCGGTTCGAGGTTTAGGGTTTAAGGTTTACGGGTTGGGGTTTCAGGCTTAAACTTAGGGCTGATTGGCATCATTCGCAAGTGCCGTTTGCGGAAGAGCTCGCGGCCAGATGTATTGTCAATTTTCAACTCAAGGAGGTGAAGATATCGATGTCGGTTACTGTGTACTGCAGTCCTGAAGTCTTTAGTGATCCCTATCTGAATGAATAGCCCTGAACCCTTCTTTCCCGAAGCCGAAGACTGAGTGAGCCGAAACCGAAGCTCAAAAGATGTCGCTGACCGAAGCCGGGCTGGAACGAACGAATTTCGCACAGCCGTAAAACCTAACAATTAATATGAATCCCCAGGCCTAAACTCCCAAACCCCAAAAGCCGAAATTCGCAGAAGCCAATGTAAAAAAACAAACTCTACGCGCTCATTTTGAGTCCTAAATCCTTATGACCAAAACTAGGTTCCTGAGTAGTACCCTTTTGCCCTTTTTATTGTATGGTTCCCTTATTAAAACTGAATAGCAGGAAAAAGGGTACCCTTACTATAAGGGGGTCATTCAGGAACCTAGAAAAAATGGACGGAAAGGAATCAGCTGCGCTCCAAGCACTCTACGGCCGGTCCTGAGGGCCGGCTTCTGGCCTTGCAATGAGGGGTTTAGGGTTTAGAGTTTAG